GGCGTTCATCTTGGCCTCCAGCTCTTCGATTTGCGCCTTTATGGAAGCATTGTCTCGATCTATGGCATCAATTTCTTCTTGCTTAGATGCCTTTTGCTTCGACAACTCTGCAATTCCAGAAGTCGTCTCTACTACAGCAGTCCAGGTAGAAGAACTCTTTCCATATAACGCTTCGAGCTGGCTGTTGAAGCCCCTCTGTCGTCGATAGTCTGCTGAGACTTGATCAATAATGGAGTATAACTCCATGATAAAGCTCGAAACCTCTGGAGTCACAGCTAGCAAGTCTACTGCATTCAAAACAGCTCCCAAACACGACGGAGCAGTGGGATCCCCCTCCAAAGCCTTCATCAAGTCTTTCTTGAAGAACTGAGCCTTGACCTTCGTCAAAGCCTCATCGAGAGGAGAAGTCTCAGTGGACTTCCCCGATTGAGTATAAGCCTCCTGACTAAGATCAGAGGAACTTCCCCTGCTCTCGATAATGGCATTCAGATAGCCAATGGGATCAGTTTGCTTCAAGATTGCTAAGTCTTCTTTGGACTTATGCTTTGTTGAGGTGGTAACCTTTGCAGCAGCGCTGTCTTGGGGTTGAAGTTGTTGAGCAGCGTCTGCATCGACATGACTATCTTCGACTTGAACTTTAGCAGTGCTAGCATCAGCGTGATCCCCTTCATCATGTTGTTCCTCCGACAGATCGACCACTTGAATCTCTTTTGGCTGTTGTTCTTTTGATCTTCATGGCTTCATCGATGCATGGGGTGAGCGGGCCAGACATGGCGAAGATTTGGTTGGAGTATCCAACCGGAATCATGAGTTGGTGTGAATAAGCTTCACGTTCAGCAGTTTCTAGGGGTTCAGGAACCCTTCGTTGGCCTGTAGGGGTAACTATGGGGACAGTTGAGAAGATCTTGGGTTTAGCATTTCTGGAAGGGATGTTAGAACTAGGAGCGGTAGAGGAACCTGAGGCCATTGTTGATGTTAAGGTTGAAGATGAAGTGAAGAACAAGGTGTTTGCAAGTTTGCAGAGATTTTATGTTCAACAGGGAAGTTTGAAGGCAGGATAGCGTGAAAAAGTCCCACAATGGGTACTTGGCGCTATTTATAGTGGTTGGGAAATCCCCAAATTCGAGGCCATTTAATGTTGCAGAAGATAGTGGGACACGTGGCGTCCCCCTGTTGACATAGTCGTTCTGCAGAAATGAAAGGGTGCAGCGTGCGCCCTCGTTTTTGGGAAATTGTCATGATGACAATTTGTGAAAAGACATTGGGCACGCTGCACGCCGTACTGAGGTGACGTCTTAGGTACGAATGAAATACTGGCTTTTTCTTGGGATTGTCAGTGGTTGGTAGAAGACAAAAAGTGCACAGTTTAATTTGTGGCTAAGAATGAAAAGACAGGTGTCGAATGGAATTTCAAAGAATGCCTTTTTCTTTTCAGAGTCGAAATAAGGAATTCTTGGGGGGCAATTTGTTGGCTCCTAAATTCGACACCCTTGTTTTTATTAATATCAGCCATTAAAGCTGAAGGATGGTTTCGACCAACTGGGTCTGTCGAAATACCCATCAGAAGATGGAAATGTACTTAGAGAATTTCTTCTAAGTAGGAATCTTGTTGCCTTCGACGTCGAAGGTGCTTCTCGACGAAGGTGTTCGATTGTTCAGAGTGGAACGGTTTGAGATTCAAACGTTTGGAGAGAAAACGGTTCCCAACGGTTACCAAGTGCAACGTGCCAAGATCTGGAGCGTCGAACGCTGTGAACGTGCCAAGTGGAGTCATCTCGAAGCAGTGTAACTGCCCGACGGTTACTTGGGATGTGTTTAGTATAAATATTAGTAGTTCACGCAGTTTTTCGCGTGTGTTCACAATTATATACAAGTTACTCATATAGATTCGAGTACCCAGCGTGAGAGAAAGAATTGTTGAGAATGTATGTGTGAAACACCACTTTAATTAATCAAAGTCATTTATTTTCCAGAAACTTTACTTGCTTTCTCCTTTACTTTTCCAGTCGAAGCCTTTCATTTCAAGCTTTTCTTTATTCTGTCAAGTTTTCTTCTTCATGCAATTTACATAAAGCTTCTTTGTTTTCTTGTCATTTAACCATTATCAAACTTAGTCAAAACCCCAAAATCAACCATGTCTTAGGATCAATCTGATCAATCCTGCGAGTCACCAAATAAGTAACCTTTTGGAAGATCAACGGTTGTTTACCAATTCCCACGGTAAACAATATGCCCCGTTATCTCTTTATGGGATTGATTATGTGGTGGCTCATTGTGTTGAAAACAAGAGTTTGGGACTGGTTTCAAATTCTCACTTAAGAGGTTTTAGAATATGTTATGAGCGGGTGTTAGAGTTATGTGACAGTTTCTTTAGTTTGTCTTTTACATATAGATCTGATCTTCTTCGTATCTTCTAGATGGAATCCCTAACTCATTTGAGATAATTTAGGCATGCCTTTTTATAAATTTATGACTAAGATGCATGAAATCAGACTAGCATTGGTTATGGATAATATTGTATCAACAAATAAAACGACTTTTATCATAGGGAGATAATTGGTGGATGAAGTGGTGGGGTGAATGAAATAATTGATGTGGTAAAGAAAACAAAACAAAAAATGAATGTGTCATTTTTTTTTAAAAGTACATTACAAAAATTGTTATATGTTTAAGATGCAAGAGTTTAGTGATAGTGTGGCAGGCTTGGATGTGTGCTTGTGTATTTTCAAGTACCTTGTTCATGTTTGTTAATGGTTTCCGACAAAAAGGTTAATATTCAAATGGGTTTTAAGTAAGGGGACCTTTTTGCTCCTTTCTTATCTCTTAGTGTGTGTTTGTTATAAGAGAAATTGTGGAGAGAGGGAGAATGAAGAGAGAAGTAGAAAAGAAGGGTTTGATTTCTACTACTTGGAATGGAGAGAAATTAAAAAGAGATATGATTTTCACGAGACCCACACATTTTTTTAAGTCTTCTCTAACCAGCAAAGAAAGGAACAAAAACTCTCATGTTTTTGTTTAATTTCAATTTTATCCTTTTTCAATAACCTGCACAATATAATCTATAAACCTCGAATTTTTTTAACAATAATCAAGTATTAAAAAATAATAATAATAATAATTATGTTTCGGAGAAAATTACGCAAATAAATATATTTTAGAAAATCTCACAATGGAGGAGTCAAGTGAGATGACGCATGTACTCACCCTTTTGCCCTAAATGTCATCTCACTTGACGCATGCACTTTATTTTAGCCAAGTGAGATGAAGCATGCACTATAAAAAAAAAGATGAGGCGTCATCTCACTTGACTACTAGGTGCAATTATGTTTTCTATAAACAAATCACTCATTTCCCCGTCATTCTTCACACTTTCTTTCACTGTCTTCTTATTTTTTTCTTTGTTATTTACGTCATAACATCTCCCATAATTTTCACCAGAGATGAATATGTTATTTTCTCGGCCATCAAACCTCAGATTTTCACCAGAGATGGATATGTTATTTTCTCGGTCACCAAACCTCCGATAAAAATGAAATTGTGATGATGCATGGCTCAGATGAAATTATTTTAACGGTTGTAATTTCTTAGACGTTTTATCGTATTTTTATTTGTTGTTTGCGTATGGTTTATTGTAACAAATGTTCTTAATGAAAAACAGTAATGTTTAGAACTTAAAAAAGTGCAGATGGTTTGTATATAATTCTTTGTATATAATTTTTTCGATTGTGTCCGACCTGACGACATAAACCATATTTTCTTTCTAACTTGTCAAGGGAGTCCATTTCATTTGTGTCATACTAGTTTTGCTACAATTAGAAAGTCATTGTTGTATACGTCGAACAAGATTTCGAACTTATAAATGGGAGATAGAAATTATAATACGTCTTAAATCCTTAGATATTTAATTTTGCCAAATAAAAATATATATTATATAATTACAACATTTCTCTTGATACATTTTCATTGAAATTATTAATTATTAATTATATAATATAATAATATAATTAATAAAGTTAGAAAATTAATTATACAGTAAATAATACTATAAATTTAAAAAAATGAAAGAAAAAGATCATGTTAACAAAAAAAATATTATATTTTCATATTATTTTTAATATAAATCTCATTATTTAAAAATAAAATTGAATTAAATTTTCACATTATTTTCAATATAAGTCTCGTTATTATTTTTAAATAAAAACTACATTATATTAATTAACTCTTTTATTTGTAGATTTTTATTTATGTTACATATTAATTTGTAGTATAATTATATAGATATATTTTTTAATTTGTATAAACTGAATTAGAAGTCAAGTCATGCACTCTAATCCGTGACTCAATGATCCACCAATGACCTAAGTTTTAAAACATTGTTACAATTTACAAACTATCAAATTACTAAAATATCAACAACAAAAATTACATTTCCTACTTAAAAAATATTTCGGTTAATCTTTTGTCAAAAAATAAACTGCTAATCTAAATTTTACTTTTTGTTTAGATATTTAAACAACAGTTCAAGCATTCAAATATAAATATCATCTATGCTAGGACCACATCACTCTTGTAAATCTTCTACAATCTACAATAAATTCTTAAGCAGCTGCAACAATGACAGAAAATCAAAATCTAGAAAGCAATCATCTATATTTTATGACATTACGGTTTTTAATTGACATTTGCCCTATAACTAGAATTGATACATCACAAGTTAAATGCTTTTCATAATTTTTCTAGAGGCCCTATGCAATGAAGTAAAGACCAGTTTCAACATATTACAAAGCAAGTCTTTTCCCTACATATTATATTTATAGCACAAGGGAAGGAAAATATTTGCTTAAAAGGGTTATGCACAATCTATTCATGGCTTCTTAAATCTTTTTAGCAGTTTTTTTTTACATAGGTAGCACATTAGTACCTCGTTCACAATCTAAAATAAATTGCTTCCCTAAAGTCATTCCAGGAGGACAATTTATGCAATGCTTATATGCTCAGACCTAAATCTTCTGATTAAGAACATGGCGCAGCTGAATCTTCTGGCTCTCCATTCTGGCCTCCAAAAGCTTAGCTTTCAAGCTATTTTTCTGTGCTCCACGAGGAATGCATCCTTTCATACCTCGTTGTGAATGTGGACTTCCGGACTCAGAAGGACTAAACTGGTATTGGAGGTCATTAGGGCTCAGCACCCCTTTACCTGATCCACGGTCAGGAGATACAATGCTCGCGTTGGATAGCCTTCCATTTGAAAGTTTACCATTCACTCCCTCCACTGAGATTATCTTGTAATTATCCTCTTTGTTCAGGCCTGACCTCCAAAGTTTCTTTATGGAAGAGGCCTTTTTAGATTGCTTAGCTGGTATAGAGTACACTTCATTAATTTCAGTTATTGGTGTCTCCTCACCATCATTTTCTTCCCATTCGAGTACACTCCTCCGTGAAACATTACTCTCTCGTTGGTTCTTGTTGAAAGATCTGTCACTCTCCTCGGGAGAATAACTCAAGCCTTGATCCTCAGCTTGGCTCACAGTTTCCCATCCACTTTCATCACCCTCTATATCACCATTATCATCCATATATACATCAGAACGCCTCAGAATGCCATCCTTACTCATTACATTCGCTTCAGGACTCACTGTGTGAATCTTGGAGGCATGATTAGGAGGACTGTGAGAAACACATGGTTCAATCTCCCGCTCGCTGTGCTCACCAATATTTAAATCTTCAAAAATGGCATAAATATCATCTGACTTGGGAGGTTCATATGAAAATTCCTTAACGTCTTCAATGTTCATTGCAGCTGCAGCCTGTTGAAGTGACTGAGCTTCTTTCATCTCCTTTGTGTTTAGATGCACATTTTTTGACTTGAAAAAAGCTTCTAAGTCTGTAACAAGTTTATTCATCTGTGAATACTTCTCTTCAAGAGCAACTTTTGCATCTATCAACTTCATTTGAACACGTTCTTCACGCCATACTTCAGCCATCTGTAACATCCTTCTCTCCTCTTCCAGTTCTTCCCTAAATTTCATAGATTCCCTTTTCAATGCTTCAACTTCAGCCTTGTCTTCTCCAATTTCCTTGGCAAGCTCATCACACACTTCCTCAATCAGTTCTCTTCCCTTCCTCTCCTTATCAAAATCCTGCATGAAGCGTTTTGCTGATAGCTTCACATTTGCCAACTCATTTACCAACCTAGAATTGACAATTTCAATCCTCTGGCGACTTTTCCTTTCTCTATTCAACTCTGTTTTAATATCATCAATGTAAGCACGGATTTTCTCATGCTCTCTGCTTCTCCATTGGGCCTTTTCCTCGCCAACTTTCTTCAAAATATGATCAAGTTTCTTTTTGGAGGAATGTTGTTCAGTCTCAAGCTCCTGAATGCGTGCACGTGCCTGCTGTAGTTCAGCTTCAAGGGCAGATACAACAGATACAGTACTTACCTTTCGATCAAGAAGTTTCGCGTAGATATGCTGCGCCTCATCGGATGTTTTTAGACATACAGGATCCCACTTTGTTGCACCCTCCATTTCAGTGTTGAGCAACTGGAAAGGCTTGAGCTGAAGAACATGATGCATGAAATTAACACTTTAACTGTTTATTCCTTCACTTTAAACCCTTAAGCTATAAACTATAAATGCTATTTTGAACAAGTGGGTTTGCATGAAAAATATGAAGTGTTTTGTCTAAATTATTGTATATAAATCTCCTCATTCATACATATCATTGATCTATGCAACAATCATTATTATTCGTTAACTACCTACCAAGGCTAGGCATCCAATACATTGTTCTTCAGTCTTCTATGTCATTACAATTTATTTGTTTCAAAGTTCAATCAAGCCACCCACAGGGGTAGGGGTGATGTCAACATATATAGCATATGTATATTTGTAGGGTTAGCATGGATAGGCCTTTGATATATATTATTGAATATTTTCACAAACTAATCAAGAAATACATGTTACTATGATTATAGCCTGTTGCTAGCTACAGATTCACTTTACAAAAAACCATACCCTTTTGCCCAAAAATGATTAAAACAGGAGTAACCAGGGAAAAGCCACCAAGAACACTATGCCATAAAGGATATAATTCTAATTCAGGTCATTTACGTGTATAAGACTTAGCCTCAATAATCTTTAATTAAGAGGAGCTAATAAGAACCATACCTCACAGTTGTGTCCACTCTTTGTCCCAAAGACAGATCGAGGACTTTGAGAATGATTCTTCGGATCAGGATCATGAGTCCGGCCATTTGGACGACCGAGGAACGGGAGTCCTACATGACTGCTTCCATTCTGCAGACAAGTGACATCAGTAATCAGTAATGAGGTAAAACTACAAACCTATCAAACTTCATAACGCAAACCAACTACCAGAATCTGAAACTGAAGAGAATGGCAAGTCATTCAACATCCATGAAAGCTAATAAATATCCAATCCAATTACTCTAATTCAACCAGAAATTGCAGATACTTAAATAACATATTCTTGAACTTAAAAAAAATTGCTAATTGCCGGATCCAAATAAAGTCCAAACTCACTTGCAAACAAACATCAAACAAAGTGGGTTCACAATGTCAGCACTATTAACACTACAGATCACCATGTTTGTTTATAACTCTGTCAAACATGACCCAACAATAAATGTAGTTTGGACATAGGATGCAAATGATTTAATAAAGCAAGTATATAAAACAATGGCATTTATATACAGAGACAAACCCTACTCAACTCATTCCTCCAATCATAACAAAAAATAATAATAGTAACTACTAAGTTTCAAATAGAACTTCATCATTCACAAGTAAACAACCAAAAACAAACATTCAGGCTTTAAATGATAATAGTTGTTTATCCTTCCACTCTAAACACTCAAACTGATTTCCGTACAACAATAATAAAGGGAATCAAGGGTAAGATGGAATCTCAAAAGACACACTTCAAAATGAAGCAACAACAGAAGATTAAGCTTCAACAACACAGTACTATAATGCATATATATTTCTATTTTAATCCCAAATGGAGGGACCTACAATACAGTAATAGCAATTGGCAATAGCTTCAAAATTCAAACTTTCAAATCAGAAACAGAAACAGAACACGCATGAGAATGAAACAAAGGATCTTGAACAGTAGAACAAAATTGGAAAAAAAATTCCAAAAAAGTTTTACTTCACCTGAAACCCTAACCTCCTCTGACTATCCACCACAACCACCTCCGGCTGATGAAGCCGCCACAGTCCAGCAGCAATCCTCCGCACCGACGAACCAACCTCCGTCTGCTTCCTCACATCCCGCCCCACCCTCCGACTTAACCTCGCCGGCGAAGACTTTTCAACCGCATCGTCATTCTTCTCATGGATCTTCCATTTTAACAGCGGAGTTTCAGGTCTACTCCGTTTACCACCACCGCCAGAACCTCCGTATTTCCTCAACCGAGTCCTCGGCGTTCTAGGTTTCCGGCGTTGAAACGGTTTCGCAGGTAGAAGATCTGAGTCTTGTGTAGGGTTAACGTTTCTAGAACTAATGCCGAGTGGCGGGTAGTGGAATTTGCCGGAGCTGTTCATCTTCTCCGGCGAGTTTCAGCCATTTGGATAATCGGAGATAGAATCTGTTGACGAAGTTCGTGAAGTGTATGTGTGTGTGTGAGTGTGTACGTTGGAGAACACGAGGAAAGTACTACAGAGATGAGAGATTTTCGAGGGATTTTGAAGAGAAAACGACGAAGAGTGAAATCATACATCATACATATACTACAAAAGTAGAATACATACACATATACGGTGGTCGACGTATCTTATACGGTGGCTTTGTTTCACGCGCGGGAAATTGTTATACGATGTCGCTTCATTGTTTCCCTAGTCCCTTCCCTACAAGTTTCCTCTACCGACTATATGTGATTAAACTTAACGTGTTTATATTTTCAAAATTATAATAATGTAAATGAAGTTTATTTGAAAATTTTGATATGTTAATTGAATGTCATATTATTGTATTTATATTTTCAAAATTATGATAAGGGATGAAAAAGACAGAATAGAAAATGGAATAAATTTTAAACTCTTATAATATAGAAGGTGAAAAAGTTATTGAAAAAGATATTTGAATTAATTATATTGTTTTTTTAGAGTGTGTTGATATGTTTTCCTTGAATTAAATGAACATGCTAATTTATAATTCTTAAACGATATTATTCATTTAAGTTTATATATTGATTTTACACGTTTTCATATTTTATAAATAAACAATTTTTAAAAAAAATATATTATTACTTAAATTATATAATTAAATGATAAAAAATTTAATTGAGTTTTTTTCTCTTATATTTAAAATATTTTTTTGTATTTAACCATTCAATTCTGATCTATATATCGATTAATTTAATTTTGTGATTAATAAAATGATTTATTTGATAAATCTTATTTTTATCAAAAATTAAATTTAAATAGATTGAACAATTCGTCTTTAATAGAATATTTAATTTTTATAATTCCTTATATGTATCAATGTTAATTAATATGATTGTCAATCAAATATAAATATAAATGTTAATAATTGAAATCTTACTTTATTTATCTTTTTAAAGTCGTACGATTTGTGATTTATTGACAATATGATACTTGTATTTATTTATAATTAATTTATGCAAGAAGTTTGACAAAAAAAAAAAAAAATACAAGAATCACGAGGACACGCGAATAATAATTATCCACTCTCTCGTGTATGAAGTGTATTTATCTGATTGAAATTTTCATGTATTGATCTTTTTCTACTATAATGTCTTCATATATCAATGCTATTATTATAATGTTATTATAATATACATAATTAAATATGATTTCGTTAAATCACCTCAATTAATAGCTCTATATAATATATCTGATTGTAAGAGTGAAATTTTAGTATTAAATTACTTATCAAATTAATTAATTAATTAATTCTTTTATCGTGAAAATTATCAAAAAGTTATATAAATTATTTGATGAAGATGTCGTCAATTTAGTAATATAAAGAATATATAAGACTCGAATTTGGTCTTAAACAACTTTTCACGCACAATATATATTTATCTTGATGTTTTTGATGCGTTGATGTTGAATTGGATTGTCGGATAAATAAATAGCACTCACATTGTCACAATAGATCAAAGTGGTTGTTGCGACTAGGCAATGTAGTTTAAATAGTAAATTTCTAATCCAACAAGATTCGTATACTACATTATCAACTCCATCGTACAAAATTTCTAATCCAACAAGATTCGTATACTACATTTTCCCTCTCACTTATCAAGAATTTACTCACAAGATCTCCTTAGACTCAATACTGCACTAGGGTTTGATCAGCTCAAGACACCTCCTTCAGCACTGATGACCAAAATTAGGGTTTGAGTTTGCACAAGGATTTTTGAACTTCCAATACCCCATATGACTTTCATAGATCATTATGGATCCCCAAGATTACTCATGTCAAGTTTCAAGCCTTGGATCACATTTTTTATCAGTCAATTGAGCAGTTGACCTAAAAATCAGTTGTATTGGGGAAAAAGTCAATCATGGCCAATTTACAGTCAAACTTCATAATTTTTTATCCACATCAACATTTTAGACTCATATGTATCATTTGATCAAGTTTGGACCATAACTCCTCGAGAAATTTGATCAAATCTCCAAAAGGGAAAATGGTCAAAATTAGGGTTTTGACTGGGAAAGGGCAATTTCTGATTTTTGACCTAGAAAATGGTCAATTGGTTTAAGGAATAATCTCAAGAGTCCAATTGCATAATTTTGACCTAATGACATGGTTCAAAACATTGCAAGTCTATTGGATTGACAGATGAATTTTCCAGTCAACTGATCAAAAGTCAATTGTATACTAAAAAGTCAAATTTTGACTTTTTGGTCAAATTCAAGTGCCAAAGATCATAATTCATCAAAATATGTCAAAATATGAAACTTATTCATCAAGAAATCAAAAGTCAAGATTTCATTTTGAAAAGTCAAAATTTCTAAACTTAGAAATTTTTCTAAGTGTTGGAAATTTCTTATTTTTTCATAACTTTGAGCAAAATTTTCACCATGATGAGAGATGATTCAAGAGAAACTTCCAACATAAAAGTTGTAGATCTCCATGAAATCTACAACTTTGCATCACACAACTTCTTCCAAAAATGCTTGGATCTCAAGTTATAATTTTATGAACATAAGGTCATGAAACAAAACACTTAGTGAAATTTTGCCCTAATTTGGTCAAGATTTTGACCCAACTTCATGACATTTTTTCATATAGTTACAAGGGGAATATTCAAAAGAAATTAAAATATGGATTGTATAACACATTACAAGCTTTCCAAGTTGTCCAAGAACTCCTTGAGATCATTCTTGAGTAGGGAGAATCGAAGAGATGAAGTTAGGGTTTTGTCACTTGAATTACAAGTCATTTTTTGACGAACACATGAACCAAATCCATGTTATGCTGCATAATATTTGCTTTGTAGGCCTCAAACTTGTTTTTCACTCCATAATTAAATGTTTACACAGCTGTTAGGGCTTTGATCTAAGCAATTAAGCTATTATCCAAGTTGCATTTCCATTAATGGCACAAAGTTAACATTACCATTGTTGTAAAGCAAGCTTTTTGTATAAAGTTCATTCTTGAGCCTCTAACTTGTTCCCTCTGATCACACTCCCTCCACAAAGTCAAAAGTAAGCTTGTTTAAAGCATAACCACTCTATCTTAGCAAGTACACAAGGCTTTGAAACTTAAATTTCTAAAAAAATCACATGTTATGCATAAACTTATGATTTTGAATTCTGATCAACAAGAGGTCTCAAAACTTGTTGCTTATAAATAGAGTCACTATTTGTGAGCTAGGGGACGAGCTTAAGCACCCTGAAATACACCAAAACTCTCTCAAATCAGAAATTTCCCAAAAACTCCATTATTGCACAGTTTCTGACCTTGAACGTCAAACTCACATTTCCCTCATACGTTTCTTGGCCTTTTAGTTTCTAAAGCTTCCTTACATCAAGTGTAACCTATCCATGTCCATGTTCCATTACTGTAACATCATTTACCATATCCTCCATAACCAAAAACAGAGCATTGCACATTGACTTCTCCAAGTCATTTCAGCCACTCTCAACTCAAGTAAACCATTGCATTAGCTTCCTAGGACCTCAAAGAAGCTAACCTGATCATCACCATCACTTGAAAGAAGCTCAAACTCAAAACACGATTTCCAATTTTGAGGTAAGTTTTCTCAACTTGAAACTCCTCATACAGGTATCATCAATAGTTTATTTGTGAATAAAACATGTAGATATCATTTCCCTGAAGCTAACCATGTCCATAGTTTCCATTAATTTTGCTTGAGCTTAGAGAATTTTGAAATTGAAATTTCTGAAATTTTTAGGGTTCAGATTAGGGCCATTAAAATTCATGCTTATCTTTGATCTATAGTTTTAATAATTTACATTTCTGAAGCGTGGGAAAATTTTCTACAAGTTTCATGTTTACAGTTTTCATTTTTGATGAGAAATGAGCAAGTTACAGTTGGTCTGGCTGGAGATTGAAGATGAAGTCATCAGGGCGCGTTTTGCCTTGTATATTTATTGTTTTGCTTATGTTAACGGATGTATAGCCACTCCAGTGGTAGAAGCACGCGCCTGTAACCTTTGGGACCTGAGTTCGAGCCGTAGTGGTATCCTTTTCATTTTTCACATTTTTTACTTGTTGATTGTTTGTGTTTTTGGCAGGCGCTGGGCCCTTTGGGCCTAGTTTGTTTTTATGTTTTTGCTAGCTGACCCCCCCTGTTGACTAATGGCACCCCTGGCCCAAGTTCATTTATTTTTTATTATTTATTTCATTTTATTTTCTTAAATATATTTTCTAAATACTAAAAAATTATAAAAATACAAAAAATGATAGATTTATATTTTGACTTATTTTATTTTATTTTTCTCACAAAATATTTTTATTAACTATACATTATTTATTTTTTCTTTTACATATTATCTTGTAAATATAATTAAAATTAGGTTATTAACTTATTTTCCTTTCATACTAATTTAAATATATTATTTTTGATATAAAAAAGACTAAAAATATTTTGTAATGCTATAATTATTTTTAAGATAAAAATACCAAAAGTATTTTTCTTAAACTTATTTCCTTTTCATTAATTAATAGAATTAGAGTTTTATTTAAAATATTTTTCTTAATAAAATTCAAATTTAATTAATTATTTTATTTATTTAATTAGGTTAAGACAAAATCCTTTTTTTTATGAAAACCAAACAAAATATTCATTTTTTTCACCTTTACATTAATGCACATTTATTCTTTTTGCACATTATATTTATTTAATCTCTTGTACATTAATATCAATTCATATGGTTGTCACAGACTATTTAGGCTTTTAATTCTTGCAATCCCCATTCAATTTGTACATCCCCTCCCTACAAATGATGTAATAGCATAGTGTTATACCCCAAAAATTGCCCTCTCATTTCTCAAGAGATCACCCTGGATCCCCAGGTTTTCTTCCATCCATTTCCCAGCCTTGAACTACAAAATTTTCAAGTTATTCACAAGGAGGGTAAAATGGTCATTTGCATACTGAAAAGTCAAACTTTGACTTTTGGATCAAAATCAAGCTTCAAGAATCATATTTCATCAAGACATGTTGGAATGTGAGAATTGTTTCGTCAAGAAATTCAAAAGTCAAATTTTACTTTGGAAAAGTTAAAATTTTAAATACTTGGAATTTTTCTAAGTGTTTAAGAAACATGACAAACTCAGAACTTCTGATCAGATTATCACCATAATGCAAGCTGATTCTGGAAGAACTTCTGATAAAATAGTTATAGATTTCAGTGAGATCTAAAACATTGCAGAACATAACTTCTCCTAGAAATGCTAGGATTTCAAGTTATA